GGCTTTAAACTTGAAAGAAATAAAGATTTGACATTTATCGTGATAATTATCGATATCGACTGATATGGGAAAAAATATTGTGATAATTTTTTTGGCCATATCGCCCAGCCCTAACACCCGGTCATGCATGAAAAAAAAATACCGTCATGTACCATGAAACCGGCATAATTTTGAAAAATACCGTGATATAAATTTTTGGTCATACCGCCCAGCACTAGCGTTACGTATTTTTTCCATGCTCATGTTAACGGATGAAAGCGTTCACTGCACACGGTTGCGGTCCGGCAGTGCGTCTGCGGCAGTGCAGAGATCGCTTCCACACCAAGTCTATTGCTGCGCTGCAAGCGCTGAATTAAAGTAACAGCGCATTTTTGCAGTAAATAACAAGGCAATAATAGATGCCACTCGTGGAGGTAGAAAAGTTCTTTATGAATGGCAGGATTGCTTGTAATAAAGATTTAAATAGAAATTTAATTCTATTTAATAATTAAGAAATTCCTTTTTTGTCAATGGTAAGTTTGTGATAACGTAAGAAAAGTAGTTTGGGTGCTTTCACACCTGTAGATCGATTGCTTTGTTCCGAAACAGGGATTAAAATTATTACAATGTTGCTTTTTATTCTTGGTGTGGTTCACTTTCACATGGCAAAGTTTCTAAATGGACCAAATTTGTTAATACAAGTCACGCGCGTGTAAACTGATTAATTGGGAAAACATTTCTAAAATGCACCTACTACAAAGAAGAGCAATAAGACGGCATTATAAAATAAAAAACTATATTTATTGTGTTTAAAAATGTCTGTTAAAAATTGTATTACTGTACTGTGTAAAAAAAGAATTGCAATGCTGAAAAAGCATTTTCAGTGACAATGTTTATATTTGAAATCAAAATAATGGATACATTTTGTGGTAAACAGCCATGATTCAGTAGCGGACTCCTGTGTGAAAGCTGCTTCCCCTCTCACAAGAGTCAACTAAGAGGGGAATTCCCCCCGTTTTCAAAAATGAAATTCAGGCCCTGAATAAATGTCTAAAAATCCAGATTGGAGTATCACTATATATAGTTATAAATGATAAAAAGAAGGCTTTAAAAAGATCGGTATCGGTGATCGGTATCGGCAGATACTGCTTTCTGTGATCGGCGATCGGTGATCGGCCTCAAAAATCCTGATCGGAGCACCCATAACTTAAATGTTGCTTGTCTCTGGTGCTGATTACAAAATCGAGACATTTGTTGGTTTATAATTCTGTCACGTTGCACTAGATATCTCTGTAAATCAGAAATCTCTGTAAACCAAAACACTGAACAGTTTTGCTAATCTCACATTGTGCAACTGAATCTTAACAAGTTTGTGCAGACACCTAAAATAAAAAATAGTCACAATTTGCAAACGTTATACAATTTGCAAAGTTATGGCATGACCATTGGACAGTGAAATGCTCATTGGGTCAGCACGGTCAGAAAAAAACAGGTGGAGAAGAAAAGGCACGTTAACAGCATAAGAATTAGGTGTGAAACCATCAGGAACCATTTAGTCTCCAGCACCAGAAGTGAAATCTCTTTTTTGGCTCATTTTATCTGTAAAAGAAAATCTGCCTAATAATTTTGCACACCCGAATATAAGGAGTTTTTTCACTTCCAGCATTTATGGACAATTATATATCACTTATAAATGATTAAATGCAAAATTAATAGTAGCTATTACGAGTGATGTGGTTTGGAATTGGTAATATGTGCTTGGAAAAAAAAATGTCAGAATATCAACGTGACTAATAATTATGCTATGTTCCTAACTTTATCAAAATAAAATGACTCTTCTTTTCAGCTGAGGTGTTAACTATTACTTCAGTGAAATTGGTTGTGCCATTCCATGTTGACCTAAACTTTAATTTGTGAAATTATTACGGCAGCCTAAAAGCACAAAACAGTGACAATCAAAATTTCATGAAACCATTTTCTTATATTTGCATGAACTAAATGGAGAAGAACTATTATTTGCAGTATTTTGCATTTAGAAAATGAAAAGAGAAGTCAGGTGGAACAATTGTAAATTATTTGCAGTATTTTACATTCAGAACAGGAAAAGAGAAGTTACTGAAGAACTTGGGAGAATTTAATCTTCTAAACGCAATGGCTGAATGCCTCTATTTAGTTTTCTGCTTGTTCCCAAAGATATTGATGACTATCCAGTGAAAAGCCTCAAAATCAGATCTCTGCCATGGTTTCTTGTATTTAGGAAATGAATCATATGTAATCTTAAATCTGCCATCATCTACTAACCTTAACCCTCATCTTTGACAGTAACAGGGTTATGTATTAATCTAAAGCAGAAATACTTATGTTTTAAACCCAGATGATGTAATGTCTAGGTTTTAAAGGAGGAAGATGGTGGTTTTTTTTAATACTTGGTTTTAAAGTAGCACCTCATTACCATCCTTCGATAAACCTGCTGCGAAAGAACCATTAAGGCTAACCTTTTTAGTGTTTTTGGCTTCTAGGTAGCTGAAAAGCTTGGGCAAACACTAAATAACTGCAGCTGTCGCCTGTAGCTTAATTAAACATTTAATATGTATTCAGAGGGGACCAAAAAAATGTAACTTTCACACCATCTGCAGTGAATGTGTAGGAATGTTCTTAATAAAAACTCAATTAATTTTTTTAAAGAAGTTGAGTAAATTATAGCAATATGATATAAAGTGTAAAGTGCCACTACTTGATGTGCAAAAATGTAACACATACGCTTAGAATCAACTCCAGCTGTGTCTAAAATGGCCTGAGGTCTCTGCTGGATCAACTCCAACCATCTGCTTACAGCAGTGGAAGATTAGAGAATAAAATGCTGTGAAACTGGCAGAGATTGTGGATCGATGCTTGGAGGATGGTGCAAAAGATGGGAAGGCTTGTGGAAGTAAATGCATTTGGGGGGGTCCTCACCTTTCCCTTCTGTTCTGCTCTTTAGAGAAAACATCCTGGTGCTGGACATCTTCTTTGAGGCCCTGAACTTCGAGACTATAGAGCAGAAGAAAGCCTACGAGTTAGCCGGCCTTCTTGGTGAGCGGTGATTGCCGAGATGTCGAGATGAATTCACAAGCCTTGAAATTATTTTATCCTTTGATATTTCCAGGTGTTCTTTCACTGTGGCCACCCTGTAAAATAATAGCTTCATTAATAGCTTTTTCAAAAGAAGTCACAGTGTTTCACTTTTTAGAAAGTCAAACTAACTTAGTGACTATAAAACTGAGAACACAAAGACCATAAAGTTGTTGAACAAAAAAAAAATTACTAACAGCAGCTTGTAATTTTACAATCCATTTATGCACGATATGTTGCAAAGCTTGTTTGTCTGTTCATGAGGCTAATTACTGAAATAAACTATTTCAGGTGACATTGGCGGACAGATGGGGCTGTTCATCGGGGCCAGTATCTTAACCATCCTGGAGCTCTTTGACTACCTGTATGAGGTAAGACCTCCATGATTCAAATCCAAACCGGCACCTGTTTTCTTTTCTCAGTGTATTAAAGACACTTCAGAGATAATTACCTTGAAACTCGACAGCTGTGGAAATTTCTGTCACTCAGAATGGCACATATTCTCCTTTCCCCTGTAATTGTGTTTGTATGACCTTCACAAAAGCTGTGGTCTCTTAACGTTGGAGCTTTCTTCCACTTGGAACCCTTTGCCACACTCAGCATCTGAATGGAGTGTAAATATATTATTACTTTTCAAGCCTTGGCTCAGGATGTGATTGCTTTCAAGATATCAATACCTGAAGGCGAAGGGTGGAATTGTCTTATGATTGAGAAAATTGTCATCGGATGTGATAATAGGCAATCCAGCAGGCAAGCAAGCAGAAGCAACCTACTAGAATCTTATTCAAAGCAAGCCGAGGACTCAATGTTGTTGGCAGATGCAGTGCTTCAGGCATTATGAAGACATAATTTCGGTGTGTATGCGCACACTCTGTCATTAGCATCTTAATCAACGTAATTTCTGCTAAGAATATTGTTGAATATGACTGATAACCATTGGTCTAGTCTGCAGAAGTATTACACACTTGGGTGGGCGAAGCTGTGTAAAAAGTATTGCAATATTATTCCCCCTTTTGACAATTTTCAGTATATATATCTTTATGTATTTGACCATATGGCCCCTTTTTTCAAATTGATTTAAAATGTTGAAAATATAGAAAAATACCTCTGCGCTGCAAGTTATAAATCATCACAATACTCATGAGTTTGCTTAATGTTATATTGCCAAACACCCAATCCAACTATGCATTAAAACATATGACTTTAAAAACAGGGGAGCGATGCCAGGAGAGCTATTTTTCTTGTCTGTTCTCTCGGATGCTCCTTGGGTATCTCTGTATGGCAGTGATTGATAACAGATCACGTGATCTTTTACAGGAAGTGCTCACTTGCACCTCTGCTCAACAGACTCATGTGAGCCTTTGGAAAACAAAAGCTTTCAAAACAAGCAAAATAAGCATTTAAAGTGTTTCTGCTGAAAGAGAAGCCCAAATGTCATTTCAAAACCTGTATGACTCTTTTTTTTTTTTTTCAGTAGAATGCAAAAGAAGATGTTTAGCAGAATGTTCGGTGCTGGTTTATTAAATGAGTTTCTGCATCCTTGTCAAAATGATTGCATTTATGAGTTATGAGTCTCATCATTCCCAATGGACAAATGGGATGTTTTGTGGCCAGAGAGAGAGAGAGAGAGAGAGAGAGAGAGAGAGAGAGAGAGAGAGAGAGCACCCAGTACGGGTATGTACAAACCTTGTAGAACTTGAAGGTAGTGACCAAGGCCTGGGCAAGTCTTTTTAAGTTTTGCATGAGGAACATGCCCCAACAGTTTATTTAGCCATTTTTAGTTATTTATCTTCCCAAAATAATGCTTTCATTTTAGGGTTCTATACCCAAACCAGTTCTTTTGAAAAATAAATAAATAAATAAATCTAGCCATGCACCAATTTTGATGAATTGACTTTCCACGTGAAAAGTCTCTAGAGTCTGGTTCAGACTCAACAGCAGGCTCAGAGTATCGCCCGTGACATTAGGACACAGATGGAAGACAGGCTGTCAGATATGGCAGGTGGAAGCTGGTGTCATTTGCAGGAAATGAGACACGAATACTGTCAGATCCAGGACTTGTGTTTGCGTAATCTGGCTGGTTTAAACTGACTTCTGGAACATGACAGCTGAAAGCCAATAACAAACAATACATCATCCATCCATCATGTTGTTCTGTGTGTCAGGAGGCCCACACGGGAATTGGGGGAAATGCCCCAGTTTCGAGTTCAGATCTAGTACTTTATATTGTTTCTGTCAATCTCTAGAAAAGCAGCGTTTGGGGACACAAGAAAATTTCGAATTCCTGGAAATTTTCTGAATGTGTGCTTTACTTGGGAACCAAGATGCAAATAGAACTTGGCTAGTTTTACATCTACAAACCCCCTAGATTTCAGTTCCATGCATCCATGTCTGCCATTCTAATCTCACAATTGATGTTTTCTTCACATTTGTATTTCATAGAAATTAATCCACTATCAAATGCATTTCCGTTTCCTTTTTGTTGCTTTTCTGATTTGCTTCAGATGTTTAAGCACAATTTCCTAGATTAAAATCTTCAAAAAAGCTCTCCACATGACCATCCATAGCGTGAACTGAACAGCAGGTTTTATGCGTGGGCTTGTTTTCTTTCTTCAAAGGTGATCAAGTACAAACTGTGTCATTGTGCCAAGAAGAAACACCAGCGGAGCAACAACAACGAACGAGGAGCCGTTCTCAGCCTGGACGATGTGAAGCGTCACGTCAGTAACTATCATACCAGTATCTGTGCTGGCTGATAAACTCATTCTTACAGACATTAAAGACTATGTTCAGAATAGTATACTGTCATACTACTCATACTCTGTCTGCAGTATTCAGTTAGTGTGCAGTTTTTTAACTGGAAGACCAACTATATTATATGCTGATACAACAGAGAATACTGCATGAGATGCTGTATTCCACAATGCAACATGCTCAGCTTGACCTTCCATTGCCAGAAATAGTAGTTATATCAGCTGTTTTTTAGCATCATCTTGAGTTATTATTTGATTAGACTAGACAAACGTTCAGTCATTTTTACACAAAATTGTATTCTCAGGGATGATAACTGAATGCCACTCGCTGAGTTCACATGCACAAAATGTTGTTTGAAATAGTTATTGCTTCATACTGTGTAATGTTTGACATGCTACTTTTTAGCCTAATTGTAGGCAGTATTCATTTTACACTGTGCAGTTTCTGATTGTCTATATTTCCTCAGGCACCCTGTGAAAACCTTCGTACCCCATCAACCTACCCAGCCAACATGCTACCTCACCATCCTGGCCAGGGCAACTTCGAAGACTTCACCTGTTGAGCGTAAAACAAGAGCGGCCTGTCTGACAGAGAACAACCAAAGCTGACCACATCAGTACGGACCCCATTCACAACCGGACATTACAGAACAACCTTCTGGATCTGCCACACACTGGAAAACCACCATGTCTTGAGATATATCCAGACATCGGAGGAATGGTACCCGATCAACAAAGTATATTTTCACTAACACGTTCCATGGAAAACCTTTGATTTTTTTTAACATTTCAAGGAAATACTGCCTCAAAATCGAAACTCCTTGAAGCCTAAGAAATTACACATTACGTGACTTGGACATCGAATAGCTTTCCGCAGCTGGACCCTGATGCCTTTTATGTACATAGTGACGGCTCTAACCTGTCTTAAGACCAGTGGCTTACGTAGGTCAGTAGATAAATATAGCGCTTATTCACTGTATGTAGCCTCATTAGTCCTATCTGCTGGATCTATTCAGCCTCAGTGTATCTCACGAGAATGTAACTTCCCGAACAAAGGTGACCATTACAAACGTCAAAGGGGGATTTCGGGGTGCTGGAGGGTTCAGGTCCCACATGACATTGTGTTACAGGTCTCATCTTGTAAATGCATGCTGGTCGTTCTGTGCATGTTTTTAGGTTTATTTAGATTTCATTATTACTCTCGCCAAGTTTGCCTCAATTATATACAAGTGTTGGGAGATGGTGTAAAGTTTGTTTTTGTGTGTATATGTGTGCGTGCGCAGGTTTTGCCGTTCTTGTGGGGATGAAGTTTCTCAGTGACCCCAGAAGAACAGCAAACTAACAAAAGCACCTTGTGAGAGCCTCTCTACAAGGAAACAACGATTCAAAATGAAACTAAACAATGTATAAATTCATATCTAAAAATGCCCAAAAGGTTTATTTTAAGTTTAGGATTAGTCTGTTGTATAATTAGCATATCTGACAAACAATAAATGGGAATGGGAAGTCCCCAAAAGTATACAGTGGCCCCAAAAGATATTTGGACACTTAAAGTATTCTTTCAAATGTGTCAAAAGTTGTTGCATTAGATTGCACATCAAAAATGCTGCAGAATTGTTTTGGTGATTTTTAGTGGATCTATGACGTCTGTTTTTCATTTTTAAGACTACTGCAACAAATAATTTTTTGTCAAATGTTTTGTCACTTTATTTGATATTTTGTGACTGACAAAATGACATTCACGGCCTGTTTACACCTGGTCACTTCATGTGTTTTCTTGCATTATCTTGAAAAGACCAGGTGTAAATGCCCTCCGAAACGCTTTCGAGATGGATTTAAATCTGATCGCTCAAACCACTTCAGGAGGTGGTCTGGGCCACATTCCAGACGAAGCTAAACAAGTGTAAATGCATCTGGTTGTCCACAGTACCGACCGCGATATCAGTCGGTACTGAAATTTTAAAAACATCCATTTCCCACTAACATTTGAGCACTGTTGAGCGGATTATTAAACATGACATCTGATTGGTCATTGTGTTTGTGCGTTCAACAGATATGACTGTGATTGGCTATCTACACATAGACGGATCCGCTGATAGATGCGGCTTTCAAACGCTCCCGTGTGCTTCTGTGTGAGCGCTCGGTGAAGAGCATGAAGCGATGATCATTGTAGCCAATCACAGTCATACTGTATATGTTGAGCATGTGAACACAATGGCCAATCAGCCGCATTTAAGAATCCGCTCAACGGTGCTCACATGTTAGCGGGAAATTGACATTTTTAAAACTTTAGTAACGACTGACATGTAAATTTGACTCCTCCCAAAATGTTAAAATAATAAACGTGTGAGAGCATGTTATAGGCTATATGACATTTATAGTCAGATTTGACAAAGCTAATGCAACGGGCATCACCACGGATGAGTAGCTGAGTATCTCTTCAGTAAGCCGACGCGCAAACTGCCGTAAATGAAACTGAAAGTAAGACGCGGAGGCTCAACTCAATCATCTTCATTAAAAATAGTGAGACTCATTTATCTTTCCAGTGCTCATGCCGCGCTCTCTCCTATTGCGGTCTTTGATCTTGAAATTAGCTGATAATTAATTAAATGCAGGACATATCTGTTGCTTTCGTTGATGTGAACTTTAAATCCATTTCGCAAAGACAACATTTATGTGGCCAAGTGTATATGTTTTTAAAAATCTGAATGATGTCTGATCAGAGAAAACACATGAAGTGACCAGGTGTAAACAGGCCCTCAGGCATTTGTAAGTGTCACTTAAAGTGTCCAAATTTTTTAGGGCTAATATATGAATACATGATTGTTTATGTGTGCATGAAGGTGTGACTGGACATGAATGTTTGTGACGGATTTTTCATCATTTGCGCGGTGTTGCTGGTCTGTTTCTGGACGAAAGTGTTTCCAGGATCAGGAATGTAACAAAACAAATAGTTTGTACTGCTGGGTGGACCAGACCGATCACTCGTACAGCACACCTGTCATAACCGCAGACTGTTGTAGTTGTGCGCACATATGTGTGCATGTATGTACGTGTGTTTGTTCGTGTGAAACTGTTACTCTTCTGTCTTTATTTCATTTATGTTAATGAAAACTTAACTGTGCATTTAACAGCTTACTGTTTATTTGAATTCTGTACTTGCAGAGACGTATTTGTTAATGTCGCGAACTTCATATCAAAGCACAAACAAGACCACCGATATGTAAAGGTGATGTTAAAAGAATGATCAAATATTCTTATCAGTGTTATCATGATAATCAACAGATTCATTAGTACTCTTATTCTTTCCTTTGTTTTTGTTTTTTTACTACAAACATACATATTGCCTGATAGTGCAGTCGGCAGATAATAGGTTGTTCTATTTATCTATGAAGGTATAATAAATATCATTCATAATTTTACAAATGTCTCGTTATTTCATTCAGGTTTATGGTGGACATCAGGAGATTGTTCATGTTTAACTTCAGAGATTGGAATAATAATTCTTCTGGATTTATCTACATTGAGTTATTCTAGACTGCAAGCTCACATTAGATTTCTTTAGACATGACGCTATAGATTCAACAACAGAAAAGCACTTTTGAAGTGTTTTAGTATAATTTTCCATTCCCATCAACAAAAGAATGCAGACTTTCAATAACTGTTAACAGAACTGGACGTCATGGAATTTATTCAGCTGCAGTATTCTTTTAAAAAACTGACAAAAATGGTTCTGAATTACAAGTGGCTCCCGATTTCCAGCCTTACTGTTCACTTACCTCAGAACTATTCATGAATTCAAACAGCAGGTAGAATTAATTTTGAACCTACATTATGGAAATTAGAACGAGGGAGATGAAAGATGAAGGGGATGTTCATGGGCATCAGACGGTATCAGGATACAGGACATGAGTGCATGAGCTGAAAGATCAAACCCAGGAGGAATAAGAGAAAATCCAAGCATGAGACATCCATCAAGATCGTCGGAGGACATCCGACTGGACTCTTCTCAGGAAAATGTATATTAAAGTAGCCTACTGGCATCAGAACCACGATTAAATATGAATAGCAGTTCACGTCTAACTGGACTGCATTGTCCAAAGTCACCCGCAGGCTTTCGATCGAGCCTAGCACGTTTAAAGGAAGCGAGGGACATCACAAATGACTGATGAATGTCATTTCCTTCTGTCGTCTCTGTGCTGATGTGGGAGCGTCTCTGGCAGATGCAGGGAAAACTGCCAACGACTTCAGGCAGCACAACCCAACCGTCAGTGCATTCTGATGAGGATCTTGTAGTGCAACACTAGTGCCTTTGAGACGTTCCTTGTCCTCCAAACGCATCAAACATATGCATTTGGAAAGATGCATTTAGTCTTGATTCGGCACAGCTGCTGCTCTTGTGAATCCACAATTTGTTTGGGGGGACAATTTAACATCAATTTATTAAAAGTTTAACAAATATTACATGTTTAGGGCCCTATGAAATGTTTTATTTTTCCAACCGTATGTTTTATTGTAACCAAATTCTGTTTTAGCATGTCTAATTATTTGAAAGCATAAAACAGGTTTCATTTATTCTTACAATAGCCTTATGATTTTTTGCTCAGAAATTCTGTTGTGTATTTAAAATTTTTTAAAGGCATAAAACATTCATTTAATCTAACTTTTAAGTAATGAAAATTAAACAAATTTTTATTTTTTGGAAACTAAAGGTAATTAAGTTGGCTTGTGAAAGCCAACTTACACTTCAGGAGGTGGTCTGGGCCACATTCCAGACGAAGCTAAACAAGTGTAAATGCATCTGGTTGTCCACAGTACCGACCGCGATATCAGTCGGTACTGAAATTTTAAAAACATCCATTTCCCACTAACATTTGAGCACTGTTGAGCGGATTATTAAACATGACATCTGATTGGTCATTGTGTTTGTGCGTTCAACAGATATGACTGTGATTGGCTATCTACACATAGACGGATCCGCTGATAGATGCGGCTTTCAAACGCTCCCGTGTGCTTCTGTGTGAGCGCTCGGTGAAGAGCATGAAGCGATGATCATTGTAGCCAATCACAGTCATACTGTATATGTTGAGCATGTGAACACAATGGCCAATCAGCCGCATTTAAGAATCCGCTCAACGGTGCTCACATGTTAGCGGGAAATTGACATTTTTAAAACTTTAGTAACGACTGACATGTAAATTTGACTCCTCCCAAAATGTTAAAATAATAAACGTGTGAGAGCATGTTATAGGCTATATGACATTTATAGTCAGATTTGACAAAGCTAATGCAACGGGCATCACCACGGATGAGTAGCTGAGTATCTCTTCAGTAAGCCGACGCGCAAACTGCCGTAAATGAAACTGAAAGTAAGACGCGGAGGCTCAACTCAATCATCTTCATTAAAAATAGTGAGACTCATTTATCTTTCCAGTGCTCATGCCGCGCTCTCTCCTATTGCGGTCTTTGATCTTGAAATTAGCTGATAATTAATTAAATGCAGGACATATCTGTTGCTTTCGTTGATGTGAACTTTAAATCCATTTCGCAAAGACAACATTTATGTGGCCAAGTGTATATGTTTTTAAAAATCTGAATGATGTCTGATCAGAGAAAACACATGAAGTGACCAGGTGTAAACAGGCCCTCAGGCATTTGTAAGTGTCACTTAAAGTGTCCAAATTTTTTAGGGCTAATATATGAATACATGATTGTTTATGTGTGCATGAAGGTGTGACTGGACATGAATGTTTGTGACGGATTTTTCATCATTTGCGCGGTGTTGCTGGTCTGTTTCTGGACGAAAGTGTTTCCAGGATCAGGAATGTAACAAAACAAATAGTTTGTACTGCTGGGTGGACCAGACCGATCACTCGTACAGCACACCTGTCATAACCGCAGACTGTTGTAGTTGTGCGCACATATGTGTGCATGTATGTACGTGTGTTTGTTCGTGTGAAACTGTTACTCTTCTGTCTTTATTTCATTTATGTTAATGAAAACTTAACTGTGCATTTAACAGCTTACTGTTTATTTGAATTCTGTACTTGCAGAGACGTATTTGTTAATGTCGCGAACTTCATATCAAAGCACAAACAAGACCACCGATATGTAAAGGTGATGTTAAAAGAATGATCAAATATTCTTATCAGTGTTATCATGATAATCAACAGATTCATTAGTACTCTTATTCTTTCCTTTGTTTTTGTTTTTTTACTACAAACATACATATTGCCTGATAGTGCAGTCGGCAGATAATAGGTTGTTCTATTTATCTATGAAGGTATAATAAATATCATTCATAATTTTACAAATGTCTCGTTATTTCATTCAGGTTTATGGTGGACATCAGGAGATTGTTCATGTTTAACTTCAGAGATTGGAATAATAATTCTTCTGGATTTATCTACATTGAGTTATTCTAGACTGCAAGCTCACATTAGATTTCTTTAGACATGACGCTATAGATTCAACAACAGAAAAGCACTTTTGAAGTGTTTTAGTATAATTTTCCATTCCCATCAACAAAAGAATGCAGACTTTCAATAACTGTTAACAGAACTGGACGTCATGGAATTTATTCAGCTGCAGTATTCTTTTAAAAAACTGACAAAAATGGTTCTGAATTACAAGTGGCTCCCGATTTCCAGCCTTACTGTTCACTTACCT